CAAAATGTCAGCAACTGCATCATAAAATAATTGTCAGAGTTTCACCAGTAACACTGTTCCTTTTACCATACGAAATACAAGAAACTGCTACTGTCACAACCGTTACTTCATTACTATTTTAACACAATCGAAGTCTTGTATTTACAAATGTTTAACCTTGTAATTAATAAATCTGATTCTCTTGGTCTAAAAATATCATTGTGTGTTTCAAAGGTAATGGTCCAATCTGTCACAACTACATTTTGAAATCAGTGCATCAAAAACAGACCCGGAGTTGTGTTCTGTTTCATTCACACATGTTTAACACACAAACCCTGCATATTTAGACTGAGTTCTTCTCTCTTCTCTCTGTTCCACCTTGTGATATCATGTAGTGATACAGGAAGTGCTCCACTGTGTTTTTAAACTCCATACATGTTCACTTTCACAATCATTTGGACGATCTTAGCCCTGGAATTGCACATCTCTACTGAACGAAAAGGTAAAAGGTAGCTGGTTGATGACATTGCAAGGTGGAACAGAGCATTTTGACTAATAATAAGTTACTCAAACATGTGAGAATGAGACAAAACCCAACTTCAGATATGTCTTAACGAGGTAACAACAATCTAAAATGGCTTAAAGCTAGCATAATATAAGACCTTATAAACAAACTCCAATAACTGCAACAAATACTAAACACCTCTTTAAAGGGACCGTCCAGAATTTTGGACATAGGAGCTTTTTCTAGTTAGCCACAGTGTTAGAGATGTATGGAAACACTTTAAAAAAAATATTCCATCCAGTCCTTGTATTTGTAGAGGTCGCTGGTGCTAGGCTAGTGCATGTCAAAGGCCATAGTTAGCCTGCCACTAAAAACAGTCTTACCCATTTCACAAAGCACCAGAAGCAACTCTGTTATTACACCACATTATTGATGTGAATATCTTTGTTGATAGAATAATGTTTAAAATAAAACTAACCTTGCATTGCATGAATTGTTGCATGTTGAGGGACTATTTTCTCAACAGCAGCAGAATTTTACTTTGCCGGTAAGGTAGGTGGTAGGTGATATCACTCCGCTGCTGCCAAACTTTCTATCAGGAAGTAAAATCACTGCTGCTGCTCAGACATAAATCCTTCAAATGCAAGGTTGGTTTCACTTCTAAAATTATTCACATTGACAGTCTGGTGTAATAATAGATTTGCTTCGAATGTTTTGTGGAGTGGGTAAGACTGTTTTAAGTGGCAGGATAACTATGGCCATTGACATGTGCTAGCCTAGCACCAGCGACCGCTTTAAAATATTCCATCCAGTCCTTCTATTTGCAAAGTGTCTCCACATGTCTCCAACACTGTGGCTAACTAGGAAATGAGGTCCTTGGTCCAAACTTCCAGACTGTCCCTTTAACTGTATTTTTGTACTACTAGGCAACTGCTTCTGCCACAACTACTCTTCAAACATCTGTTACCCCAGTCATACTCCTCTATTTACAAATATTTAACCATGTAATTATGAAATCAAATTCTCCTGGTCCAAAAATATCATTGTGGTGTAACTGTGGCTTGTATTTCCCGTGCGCTCTGATATCTGACATCTGAGTGATTAATCCGTTCTCCATCGCAGACCTAACCTTTACAATACAACTACTGCTACAAAATCATTTCATTGCCTTCCTGAGAGAGAGGTTGTCTCAAGGACTGACTGTTCCCAGGCTGCAGAGCTGTGCCAAGGCCTTTTGTGAATGGATTAGTTACTATTAAGCTGGCGGGCCTGATAAATTAGGATTTATAAAGATTATTACAAAATACTTATGCCCTGCTAATGCTGCTGATTGAATTTGTGAATCTTATTGAATTACTGCAAAGGATTACTGGAAGGTACTGTACATCCAAACGGCAGGGGAGAACTTCTTGTGGTTAGTTTTAGAGCCACTAATAAACTATAATTTAGTCCTTTACAAAGCTTTTCTGTGTATTTTTCTTATTTTGTGGTTTAAGGTACTATAATATTATCCACAAAGACACATATTGCATAGCAGGATTGTAACTATAATGTCAAAAGTCTCATGATAATATTGTGGACTGTCACAATATATCAAGTCACAAGCTCCTTTGCTTAAATACATGGTTTATAGTAGCAATATCTTATAAACATCGGGAACTACATATCCCATGATTCATTTCAGTGCATACAACATGAAAAGATATGTTTATACTTGAATTCTTGGGATTATGACATAAATAATTCACACCAGAACATTGTCAAGGTATTTTAAAAGCAAAAAGGTGTCCCATCTACAATTATACTAGCCTCTTCAAAATATCACAATAAATATCGTACTGTGAGGTGCATATCGTGAAATATCGTACTGTGAGATTTGGATAGCGTTACATCCCTATTGCATAGTCATATTAGTTACAGCAGTGTTAAAAGAAGGACTTAATTTTGTTACTTAAGTAAAAGTACAGGCACTGGAGCAACAGAAAGTAAAAGTATTACATTAAATTGATGAAATGATGATTAAAAAATAAATAAAAAAAAGTTCCACCACTGCATTATAGGAAGCCTATCTTTACTTCTGTCAATATTCCTATACTACTATCACTATCAGAGGTGGCGCTACCATTAGGCAAAAGAAGTCGGCTGCTTAGGGCCCCCAAACCTGGAGGAGCCCCAAACATTTGCCCTCAGTGCCACTAATAGCCAAGGCTTCAGAGCAATTTGATTTTCTCTCAATATAACCTTAAATGAGAGGAGTTTACTTTTAAACAATAATCATAAAAAAATATAAATATAATCATATGTAATAGATGTAAACAAAAATGTTATTGTACTAGCAAAAAATAATAATAAGACAAGTTTCCAATCCACCATAATTCAAATAAATATGATGTGCACCTATTAAAAAAAAACTGCATTATAGTGAGGGCCCCGAACTCAAGTTTGCTAGGGCCCCCAAATTGCTAACTTCGCCACTGATCACTATATATACTTTTTATTTCTACTATTTTGATTAATTCCATTCATTATATTGCACTAACCCCTACTGATAAGACGACTTATTGTGTTGAGTAAATAAAAGTAAGTGAAGTAATTGAACAAGATTTGAACAAGTCTAAACATTCACTTGCTTCTCAAATTCCCCTCTTCAGTTTAAAATGCTTTATTAGACCCCGTGTCCAGATCTTAGAGCCTCTTTTTAAGGATGACTTCTATTGTACCATTCTATTGACTGCACCATTGGTTTCTCTCAAATGCTAGGGACACAAATCAGGTAGTGCAATTTTTAACCTGATTGTATTGACATCCTTTAAGTGACTGTGCTATCAAAGTCAAACTACACAATCTGAGTCAGAAACCCTGCTGAAAACAACCACGACTACTATCTTTAAAAATGCCCTACAACCTTAAGGCTGGGAGACAAATGGATAGTGTGCCATTTTAATTGCCTACCAACAGCCTCCAGTGTAGAATCTAATTATCTCCGGTCCATCGTATCACACAGGCCTATAATTGTTTCAATATTACACATCCAAAGGGGCTGAAACGGCAGAATGGCCAGATAATGGCTTCTTAAACAAGTTTACCTCCAAGAAAACATTCTTTAAAAAACATGGGTTCATCTTGTATTCATTTCCCCATAGAACTGCTGAGATTAGGTGACCCGCTGTTGAGCTGTTAAGAAAAATCTATACTCGAGTAAAAGAATACATGTCTCCGGGTAATAAAGTCAAATATGTAATAAAACAACACAGAAGAAAAATGGTTCAAATTGTATGTTAAAACTTACTACTACTACTACTACTACTACTACTACTACTACTAAACAATTATTATTAACACTCCTGTAGCAATATACAAGTTGTTGGGAATATGTAAAAAGGGGATTTTAATCAAATTCTTCTAGATAAATAAGAATATAAGTAAATAATAAATGCAGGAGACAGTGTAGTGCAGCGCAATCTTAAAATCTAAAGTCTCGTGTTGCAGATAAGACCGCACTAATCGAGACCAAGACCAGTCTGAGACCACACCTAGACAAGACCAAGACCTCTGAGGGCCGAGACTGAGGCAAGACCAAGACTTTCAAAGATAGAGACCGAGACAAGACCAGGACCACAGCCCATCAAGACCAAATCTTTGCCATTTTCAACACTTATTTTGGCACATACTGTATATATCAATGTTTTTATAAATCATTCTCCATTTTATCTGATTAATTTTCATTATGGCCTAAAATAAGCCAAGCAAACTGTAATGCACTGAAACACTCTGCATCCTTTTTTAAACCCTCACCCACTGGCACTTTACAGAAAACTGTAGGATTTTTACAGCAGTTTTTTTTCACGTTTTTAACTGGAGTTGCATTCTCTTACTGGTTTTATTAGGCAAACTTCAGCCACATGTTGCGATAAGAAGTTTATTGTCGACAGCAGCAACCGTAATGAAATATGATCACATTCGACGAGGGTCACACCTTGAGTCTGAGACAAGACTGAGTCCAAATGCCATCAAGACCAAGACAACACTGAGTCCAAGATGAGACCAAGACCGTAAAAAAATGGTCTTGAGGCCAGTCTTGAGACCAAGACCAGTCTCGGGTACTACGACACTACTAATGTCTAATATCTTAATGGGAAAAAAAGTGGTTAATTTAATGGTCACTTGTTCACTTTTTATGAATTATCGCTAAAATATTGTCAGGATTTGTAATAAGGATAAAAAATAAGATATTATTTTTTGTCAGTATTACCCTCCCCTAACAGCTGAATATAAAACTCAATATATGACTCAAGTGGAAGTGCAACTGCCCAACAAAGCTACTACATTACTACTACCACCACTACTGTGCATAGTACTGTTATACTGTTGCTTTATGCTCCTGCACCTCCTTCCTGTACTGTAGTGGTCACATATTCAGTCTCACCCGGGAAGGACCTGACCACCAGTCAAATGTGGCTTGGCATTTTCAAAACAACTTGTTAGGTGAATGATATTCGAATAGAAAACCACGTACCCCTGTTGGCTTCCTCCTCCTCCTCCTTAGGTGTGGATGTGGGTGATGGTGGGATGGTGTCTGTAAACAGTAAACAAAAAACATTCATTAGTATCTCAATGTTATATTATGCTCTGATCGATCTTACAATGTGGTTTCCTCATCAAAAACATACCTGGAGTTTAATTTCAATCCAATCCAATTCACTTTATTTATATAGCACATTTCATGAACAAAACTGTTTCCAAAGCGCTGCATAATACAAAAGTTTTAAGTTTTATTCACACATTAACCCTGCATATTTAGGCTGAGTTCTTCTCTCAAACTGAAAAACCTTGTGATATCTTATGTTTTAAATTCTAAACACCTTCACTAGAATAATTTGGATCGTTTCCAGCTCAATTTCTACTGAACTAAAAGTAAAAGGAGCTGAAAACTACCACTACATGACCTCACAGGGTAGAACAGAGCATTTTGGGCTTTGGAGCTGTTGATAGACTAAATAGGATAGAATAAAGCAATAAAACAAGACGGAAAAGCTTAAAAATATAAAATATTAAGAGGGAGAAAAAGGAAAGGTGGGAAAGCCAAAGAGGTACTTCTGAGAAAGTAGCACTAAAACAAGAATGCCTGTTTTTAACAATTCCCAAATAGTTTATCCCGCTTTAAACAAAATACATATCCATAAAACAATGTTCAAATCAAGATTCAATATAACTTAAGGGTGAGCATGGTTCGTTTTCTAAGATCAGCTAAAAACAATTGCCGAACCTTAAATTAGGATTACTCAAACGTGTGTGAAAGAAACAAACCACAAGTCCAGGTATGTTTTTGAGGAAGTAACATTATAACTGGTCTTAAAGCTCACAGTCAATTTTGTGTAATATAGGACCTTTAAAAAATGACATTTTTGATTCACCACAATCCTCATTCCCGGTGCAGCACTCTCAAGTTATCCAAGCATGTCAAGGCTACCAAAAACTCTTTTTCTCTAAACTACAAGATAAAAATGTTGTAAATTCATGTCCACACAGAAGTCTCTTACAGTTTTGTTTTATGCCTGTCTGACAAAACCAGTGCAGTGAGGTACAGGGGAGAATGTGAGCCTTAGACACCGTCCTGGGACAATAGGCTCATTTCATGTGTGAGCAGCTTCATTGGGTTGAATGGACGTTTGAATGGGCTCCAGACTGATTCAGACGCGAGCTGATGGAACACAATCAAAGCCTGCTCCATGGGAAGGGACACTATTAAACCAAACCAGTCCAGAATGGATCTGGACCATGACTTGACAAAGGCCTGTTAAAGTCTGGTGTTGTGTGGATCTCAAGTTGTGATATGGGCCTAATTCTTTCACAGTTTTGCTATTGCTTTTAGATTTGTGGCACATATTTATTCATGATTTAAGATAAATAGTGATATAGACCAAGATTATATTTAGTTTAGGTCAACCATGGTGCAATGCTTAGGATCATTTAACAATATTCTGTAGTTGAGTTTTGTTTCAGTAATATATATTTAGGCTTTGCCAGTATTCAGAAATATTCGGTTGCACTGTATGAGTGTAGTAGAGGTCCACAGACGTCACCAGTAGTATCATTAAGAAGTTGCTGATACGATATGTACCTCGATACATAGGCCACGATACAATACATATCTCGACAGTGTACTTTCTATTCAGTATGATATATTTCAAATCGATTCGATATGGTTCAATAAAAAAAAATAAAGGCTAAAACATGGCTGTGATACTAAAAGTCTTTGTTAAGCCACTTCTTGTGCAAAGTTAATATGAAATACAAACATTTTAATCATCAAAATAGTGAAATGTCAAATATGTTGCATAAACGAGTTTCGATATTTCGATATTTTTGCACACCCCTACTCACCAGACTTTCATTTTGATCATATGTACACAATTTGCCAAATTACAGTGCAGCTAACCCTCTTCAACCTCTTCAAAACAAAAGATAAGAGCACTTAAGAGCACTTTAACCTAATTTAAACTGCTCTAATTCACCGGCAAATCTAGGAACAGTGGCATTTTTTCTGTTTTCTGTAAAGGCATGTATGGTACTGGTTAGATTATAGACTCTTGGTAAAAATATAGTGACTCCAGCTGAGCTCTGATGTTGGCTTTTGAAAAGTGACACTAAACATAAGTACAGACATCTTGGTAAAACTTAGTGAAGCTTGTGGTGTTTTAGGTCCTCTGTCGCCTCTACAACTGTCCTCTGCTGTATAGAGACTGTGACTCTGCTCTGGGAAGTCCAGGGCCGGAGCTAACAGACCGGAGAAATAATACTACTACTTAATACTAATTAGGTCTGTTTAAATGTTGCATTAATCAATAATATATACAGTGACAGGTCATTAAAAAGTAATAATACGCATGCAGGGGTCTTCCAAAGGAGGTATTCAAGCCAGAACCGCCACTATCTTGGTTTTTAGTTTGAACATTCTTCATTTAAGTCTGTCTCTTTGGGTTTAATAATAGATAGTAGTTAGAAAGCCAAACATTCCCCTTGCTGTGAGAAGCAGCACTCTTCCTGACAAGAACAGAACACGCTCGGAGACGTTGACTGAGGCCTTTACGACTCTGCCATTACGCGCACATTGTTTCACTCGGCAGGATCAGATTTTACAGTGCACTTATAAAGCAGCCACTCTTTTATGTGGGCCCAAAATTGAATCTCATTGAAAACACAGATGCGTGTAATTGGCAAATCATGGGGTGACTTTGAGACGAAAAAACATTTTGATAGAGCCCGTGTCCTACATCAGTACAGTAATCAGAGCACTTTCTTCACTAGACGCAGAGTAAAACTAACATTGATTGTGGTTTATTTGGTTGCACATGTACAATGGACTCTTTGAGAAAATGAGAATGAGACACAGGCCAAATCCACTCAGTAAACACAATCATGAGGATGGGGCCATAAGCGCTTTTCACTTCACATTTACCCACACAATTTAAACAGCGGTCATCTGCCAAATAACACTGCTATAGACTGTTGTGCAAAACTAAATAAACAATAGCAGTTCATGGTGGTTCATTTCTTTTAGGCCTTTATTTCTAAGATTGGCATACAATTTCATCTGCCTCCTATGGTGCAGTGATCCTCCGCCAGATTACAACTTCATCATTTTTGGCAAGCTGATAATGATAAAAATGCATTAGTTTTGTAAAGCGCAATTCTAGACAGTCACTAGACAATTGAAGATGCGCTGCTTGCTAGGGATGTGTAAAAACATTGAAATACTGATATATCATGGTACTAAATTTGGTGATACAGTACCATTATAATGGGTTGCTGTATCGCTGTTTTCTCAAGATAATTTTTTTTATCTCTTTAATGCCTGACATACACCGTGATATTTTTGATCGTTGCACTCAGTCCCAGCTCAAACTGTACGACCAAAGTTCACAGCTCGTGGAAGTACTTCAACAGAGCGAAACCCACACGAGAAGCGATTAGATTTCAAAGAAGTTTGTTATTCTTGCGACCTACAATTGCCGATTAGGAGCTGTTCGTGAGGTATTAATCGGTCCTCGTTACTCCATGTCTACTACACGAAGCATGATATATGATTAAGCCAAAAGTCGATCCTAAAACCAGTCAAAAATTGGCTCAAAAAGGGCCAAAAATCGCACAATGGACGCCTGTCTTAAGCAATTTATTTGTGACAATTTTGTTGCTTATTTAATGGAAGAACTGCGGTTTATTTTGATGACTAAAACAGATGTATTTCATATTAACTGTGCACAGGTAGTGGCTTACATTTGCAAAAAACTTACAATAAAACATATATACATTACTATGCAGTATTATACTAATTCTGACACAAATCGAAAACATTCAGTTTGACCTATTTAAGTATGGGTGCTTCACCGGGAGCAGTCGCCCAAAATTTCAGGTTTCTAGAGCGACAGGCACATCAACAGTATCAAAACCCAGACACTAATTAACTACCAAAACTATTACAGATTGTCATTTGAACAAGCATCGGCCTATAAGATCAGAATTATGAAATGTTAAGTTGAAAAATATAATCTATGGTCAGACTATCTTTTATTATCACTATGGTGCCAAAATCTGTATTGAGTAACACACCTTTTCCTTAGGGTCAAAATAGATACTGAAATTGTATTAAAAAAAAGACTGAAATAGCAGTATTGTGACAACACTAATGGAGAGCATTGAACGATGACTTCAATTTGTTTCCATTATCATTCTAGCGTCATCCCCTAAGAACAATTTAGTCAAAAAAGTTTTAAAACGTTTTAATAATAATTTCATTTTAAACAACATTTTCAGAATGTTTACACCCAAAGTTTTAAATGATTTATAAAGACAGAATCTAGATACCACACTTTCTGAATACCACTAAAATGACTTCATTTTCCCACAATGCACCAGTCTGGCTCCTGAATACATGTCGGACAATAGCAGCTCCCCAAATGGCTGCGGGTACCATTGCTTATGCAGGACATGAGTGCACCGCTGATGTCAATAGTGGATGTTGATAAGCAGTATCAGGCAGTCTCAGGCCATGTGCCAAGATGGAGCAGTGATAAAGGCATTATGTGCTGACAGTTGTGTTTGTGCTGCTGTATAGGACATGCTGCATGGCTCATTCTTTAAAGACGCTTGCAGTTATTGTGGCCCGAAAGCAATACAACAGAATAGAGCAGGGAATAAGCACATGGATTTTAAAGGTCCCATGAAATGACAAAAATCTGTTTAGAAAATTGCCCTTAACAAAGACAAATCTGGAGTGTTTTGTTTCATTCACAAACATAATCTTGGATAGGCTATCTCTCTAGAGCTCAACACTGAACACAGTCCAGTAGCTGATGTCATGATCTACGTGTTACAATGTGTGACAAATTGCTCAAATAAAATAAAAAAGAAATGAGGTGATAATTTCCTTCTCTAGTGCAGAGCTTCAAGTCAATACACCTTTTTAGACTTTCAGATCATTTAGCACTCAAAATCCTTTCACTACAAAAGATGTAATAAAATAAGTTGTTGTTTTTAAAGTCATCATTCTCTCTTTGGGCAACAATGTCACAGGAACTAGATTTAAATGGTGTCATTAGTTGTTTGTTATTCATAATTTTAAGCTATGAAACATGACATCTAAACCCTACAAAACATGTATCTTAAAATGCCTGGACAAGCATAATGTAAAGCAATTAAATGTCTGATTCACAAACATAACTGCTGTAGCTAATAATGCATGGCTCTTGAAATGTAATACACCTGACATTAAGTATTTTAAGTGTGGCGTGTCTCGGATTCAGTCTGTCATCTGAATAAATAAACACTCAGTTTGATCGGCCTGCAGTCAAAGGCACTAAATCCCTGTGTGTACTCTCGATTGGCCTCTGTGTGTTTGAGAGAGTGTCTGTGTGTGTGAGCTCTGATGCAGGTGTAAAGGGGAAAAGGAGCCTTGAAATCCTCTGTCACTCACCGTCCTTCTGCTGCTCCTCTGGAGCCTCCATGTCGTTGTCTGTAAAGGAAGAAAAACAAGGCAAATTAAGTGGAAATAATTACAGTGTGTCTTTTGTGTGTGCTCTGTTCAAAAGTGTACGTCTGAATGAAATTGGAATCAAAGCAACCCAACCTGTGTAGTCATATACAGAGGCTGTTTTTCCTATAAGAGCATGAATAAAGACTTTTTCCATTAACTTGCTGATTAATGAATGAATACTGGTGGCTAATTCTGAAGCAGTTTTGGTCACATGGTCAAATGGCATTTTTATATGCTCACATGTTGGTCATTTTTTATAGAGTGTTTTTCCACATTCAGCACACTCAAGGCACTCAAAGGACTTTACATCAAGGAACCACTCACCCATTCACGCACACATTAATACACACATTCATACAGCAGTGCACACAGAGACTGGGGGCAAGGTGGGTAAAGTGTCTTGCCCAAAGTCACAACCACAGCACTCATCTGTGGGAGCTGGAATCACACCGCCTAGCTGTGGGTCAGTGGATCTGACTGTTCTACCAATGATGCTTATGTTGAGAGCGGGATTTGAAGCGCCAACCTTCAGATCAGAGGACGAACACTCCAACTAAGCTACTGTTGCCCATTTTTGAAGTGGGCTTGCCTCTTCACAGATCTTACTTGAAACTTAGCCTCACCATCTCAGTGGAGATAAATAGGTTTGGGACACATTGTACTGTGTACTGTGTACCGTGGAACATTCCAGAGAAATAATATCTCCACAGAGTCAAGCAGGTGTCGGACCCTCCACCAAAAAATTATATATACAGTAGTATAATTTCTGTTATGGTCAGTTACATTTAAAAATCATTTTACCACATTTTCTGAAAACATAGAACATACACACATTAATAAATCTATCTATATTAATTGGGCAGAGTAAAGAAAGTGATGTTGAAAAGATAGTAAGTGATAAAACCAAGGCAAAAGTGAAGCTGACTATATAAAGCACGCACTGATAGAGATAACTTAAAAAAAAACAAAAACAAAAAAAACCTACTCATCCTTCACCCAAATTCTACCGCCTTCACACCAAAAGCCATACCCGCCCAAACCACTTTCACAGCCTCCCTCACTTCCCCACAGACGTCCTTGGATAGTTATTACATTAAATTATAGCATGTGTATGTAAGAGGGAGAGAGAGGAGGGCATCTGAGCCCATTCAAGAAACATTCCTTTTCAATTAAAGCTTCTCTGGTCGACTCTGTGTAAAACCCCTATTTCCCCCAAATGACTGGGACTGAAGGCTGGGTGGACCACAGTGGCTCAGACAGAGAGAAAAAACCCTTTGATTTGTCCTTCTTTTCTCTGGGAGCCTATTGTGAACGACAGAGAGGCTGGACTGTGCCGTTTCAGGGTGAGAAGAGTCGTACTGTGGGAGATGAGATGGCTTGGACTCATGATGAGGCAGAGATAGTGGCAATGACCAAAATAATAGGATCATGAAAAAGGTGCAAGTATGATATATACAACATAAACTCACGATTAAAGGAAACATAAATGCTCAGATTATGATTTTTTTATTCTAATACATAATTTCTTGTGTCAAAGGGGAGCTTACGATTTGATACATATTTCAAATTGATTCAATACAGTGCAAAGTTAATATGAAACACAACCATTTTACTCATCAAAACAGTGAAAATGTCAAATGTGCTGTGTAAACGAGTTTCCTTCCACTAAACAAGCAACAAAACTGTAGCTCTGCAGTAAATAATTTAGTAAAACACACCAAAAAATACTCTTGGTGATATATCGACGCAGCAGCCCACGATATCGATACTGTATTGTCACATTAAACAATATCGATGGAGGAACTAAATAAAACCTAAATATGAAGGGCTTGTGTTAAACGTGTGGATGAAATAAAACAAAACTCTAGATACATTTGTGATGAGGAAACAAAATTAAAACAGTTCAGAAAATAGCGTATGGACCCTTTAATCCGATTTTGGTTTGCTCCTGGTTTGGTCATGGTTCAGTCCAAATTTTGTTTATTCTCAGGTTAGGTCAGATTTTAATGTTTGGTTAAAGTGCCTGTGTGAAAAACAGCCCTGTCATATACACAGTAGACGCCGTCGTTTCTCAATTATTACTGCGTATCACCTTTATTAGTCTTTATTTAACCAATTATATCTGTTAATATCTGTTATTTTTTATGCCTCAAATGAGCAATAAATGCCATGTAGACTCATTAACACATTCTTACTTTGAAGTAAACAAACAAACAACTGAACCAGTGAAAAGTGCACGAAGTAACTTGGCAATAACGTCTCTATGGAAACAAGCAGATACCCCTCTAGAAAAGTTACAGTGAAATAAAAAGTGTTCCTATAGTTTTAGCACCCGTGTAACTCCTCAGATCTCCAGAGTGCATATAGCCTTGAGTCATGACGGTATATTTATGTTTCTCCATATACAGCGCAGCACGAGCGCGGTATGCGAGCCTACTGTAAGCATTGCATTGTGGTTAGTGAGCACAGTTAGCAGGCGTTAGCGTTGATGAAAGGCTGTTGTCATGGGCTGTGTGGAAGTGGAAGCGTCAGAGCTCCCAGAGGATTCAGCGACAGGCTTTTCTTTTGTACAACACTGAATGAAAGGGTACAGTGCATTAATCTAACCCTGCTGCAGCCAGACAAAGGACACAGAGGAACAATGGAGCACAAGTGGAAACATGGACAGCCACATGTTATGGCATTATTAATGCTGCACATCTGCACTGCTGGACCACGACTGTCAAAAAACACACAAACAAACAAGTTAATAGAGAAACTTAATAGTCATTTGATATACAACACAAAATTAGACCTTTTCTCAATAGTTTTCAAATGGTCCTGGTCTATAAGACAACAGAATACCATTGTTTTCTATGGATGTAACAATATCCAAATCTCAAGCTACAATATTATCATGATATACATTTCGATATTTTGAAGAGGCTAATATAATTGTAAATGAGACACTTTTTTGCTTTTAAAATGCCTTGACAAGATTTTGGTGTGAATTATTTCCATCATAATCCCAAGAATTCAAGTAAAAAACATATTTCATCATGTTGTTTGCACTGAAATGAATCATGGGATATGTAGTTCCCTACATTTATAAGTTGCTGCAACTATAAAACCATGCATTTAAACAAAGGAACTTGTGATTCGATATACTGTGCCAGCCCATATTATTGTGAGATTTTTGACGATACAATATCACAGTATTTTGGTTATTGTTACATACCTATTGTTTTCAAGACGATGAAATGTTGACTCTAACATGTTATTTTTTGTCATGGAAATATTTTATATATACTGCTACTTTATAAATATAGATTTGTAATACCTGGAGTGTTTTCAGTTTGAGAAAGAAACAAATATGCAGGGTTTGTGTGTTTGTGAGAATTAATGAATGAAGAATTAATGTATAATGTCTGAAAAATGAAAAAGAAAGCTCATGTTAAATTAGAAGAGAGAAGAGGGGAATGGGATTAAATACATTTTCTTCTTCCCACTCCATTTTAGGCTTTTTTTGTGTGATTATTTCTATGATGTTTTCACTAATGTTACATGTTCCATTGTATAAGAAGGTAAATCTCTTACTTGCCCAAAATAAATAAATAAATACACAAATAAATAAATAAATAACAAATAACAATGAAACAAGGCACTCCAGGTATGTTTGTGAGAAGGAAACATTATAACAAACTAGAATATCAGAAAATAGTGTAACGTGGGCCCTTTAAATACATAAAAAATATATATTTATACGTAATCATTTTAGCACTCAATAGCTAATTCTAAAATTGTAAATATTTTATTTGGATCAACATAAAAAAGTGGGCTTCATGTAAAAGTGTGACATAGTATGATATATGTTGACTTCCGTAATGATAATATTCACAACAATACTGGAATAAAGTCTAACCATTTTTTGAATATGACTCTTTAATAGATGAGATAGACTGAGCCGGTTCCTCACAGCTAAAGTCATTGCTTGTGGTTTGTATAGGATTCTCAAATATAGCGAAGCATGTCAGCGCAGCAGCCACATCCCGCTGTATCCCATGTCTTGAATTTACACCCCATGTTCTCACGATGTCACACATGAAAGTGAACCCTTGTACGATCCAAAGCCCAAAGAGAGACCGCTGATCACATGACTAACTCACCATGTCCTACTCGTATCCACCCCCCAGGGATTGCCCCACCAACATCGCACGCTTCCTGTAGCCTTTTATATCCACATGAAGAAATTACATGTGTGATAGTGGAGCGTGTGTACAGCGCATTAGAGAGGTCTGGGACTCCTCTGATATGGACAGAAGAGGAGGATGGTGTGAAGTTTATAAAGAGCTGTGTAAATGATGTCTGCTGAAAGAGAATTTACTGTCCAACCAGAGTCCAGATTTAGCTCCACTCAAGTGATAAAAATATAAAAAGCTGTTTAAGAAAGAATAATGGAAAGCAACTGAAAAATAACCTACATGAATTGATGTAAAAGAACGCTCTGGTTTCAAGTTCAAAAAGCCAAATACAGGTTTTATACTCTAACTACGCTACATTCATAAGTCACTTGCTTCTAGGAGTCATCAATGTGCGTGGTAAATTCGTAAGATTTCTTAAATACTGCAGAGATTGCTCTTCTTGATACAACCATTGTATACATCAATGAAAAGCAAGTACCCTCTACAAAGCAGAAGCCATGACCTTATTTTATCAAATTTAAAAGAAGTTTGATTTTAGTTTGATGACGATAAATAGCCATAACCTTCCTTGTAATGATAAAACCCAGTACCTCGTTTCTAAATACTGCTTTTATATTGACTTCTATTGACTATTTGACTCTACCCTTACACACTGAAGGTCAGCTTGTGCCAGTTTGTATGACAGAGTGTGAAGTATATTCGGCTTTTCACAAACAAAGTTGCTTGGAAAAGGGTGAACAGTTGGTGCGAGTGTGTCTGGCTCTGCAGATCTGTGGACTCAGTTAATATTGTGAGGAC